TATTTATATGAGAGAGAGAGATAGATATACATACATACATGCATATATACTCAGTGACTCAGAGATTGTTTATTGTCGTTCGCACCACATGTGGTGGAATGAAATTATGTTCACAGGGTCCCAGTTACGGGCAGCACGGTGGCGCAACTGGTAGAGCTGCTGCCTCTCAGCATGCAGGTCCCTGGTTCAAATCCTGATCCAGGGGCCTTTCTGGGTGGAGTGTGCATGTTCTCTCTGTGCATGTGTGGGTTTTCTCCAGTTTCCTCCCACAGACCAAAAACATGCATGTTAGACTGATTGATAACTCTAAATTGTCCCTAGGTGTGAGTGAGAGAGTGAATGGTTGTTTGTCTCGTTTGTCTCTATGTGTCCCTGTGATGGACTGGAGACCCGTCCAGGGTGTCCCCCGCCCCTCGCACAGTGATTGCTGGACATGGGCACCGGCGACCCCCATGACCCAAAATGGAAGAAGTGGCTAAAAGATAATGGATGGATGGGTCCCAGTTACATCCAACAATAAACTGTAAAAGAAAAAACAATAATAAGATCTAAGATATGAAATAAGAAAAACATCAACTAAATATACACTAAGCACTAAAAGCATAAAAACATTACGTCAAACAGCAGCACAAACATGAGTCTGTGTGAACAGATGAGCACGCATGAACACATCAACATGAAACAGATCAGCAGCAACATGAAACAGATCAGCAGCAACATGATGTGATTTTTCACAGTGATTATTCTGGTTAGAGATTCATGAGTCTAACAGCCTCAGGGTAGAAGCTGTTCCTCAGTCTAGTGGTTCTACACTTAATGCTCCTCAACCTCCTTCCTTAGGGGAGCGGGGCAAACAGTGTGTGTGCTGGGTGAGTGGGGTCCTTCATGATGCAGGTGGCCCTCTTCCTGCATCTGGAGGTGTAAATGTCTGTGATGGTGGGGAGGCTGACTCCAACATCTTCTGTGCAGCCTTCACCACTCTCTGCAGAGCTTTTCTTTCTGCAGCTGTGCAGCCTCCATGCCACACGTTGATGCTGGAGCACAGGATGCTCTCCACTGCACACCTGTAGAAGGAGGTGAGGACTGAGCTTCCAGACCAGCTCGTCTCAGCCGCCTGAGGCAGTAGAGTCTCTGATGATCTTTCTTGATCAGGCTGGTGGTGTTGTTGCTCCAGCTGAGGTTGTTGTTCAGGTGCACACCCAAGTACTTGTAGATGGAGACCACTTCCACCGCAGATCCTCCGACCATCTCCTTCGTCTTCTTCACATTGATGTGAAGGTTATTCTCTTTGCACCAGCTCTCCAGGTGTTCCACCTCCTGCCTGTAGCTGGACTCATCATTGTTTGTGATGCATCCCACCACCGCTGTATCATCTGCAAACTTTACAATGTGACAGCCTGGATGGGTAGCTGCACAATCGTATGTGAGCAGGAAACAGATCTTTAAACAGGAGAGGGTTCAACACACATCGCTGAGGAGAGCCAGTGCTGAGGGTTATGGTGGAGGAGGAGAAGTTGTGGATCCTCACTGACTGTGGTCTGTTTGTTGAGAAGTCCAGGACCCAGTTGCAAATGGAGGGGCTTAGTCCTTGTGTGAATAGTTTGTCCATCAGGGTTTGGGGGATCATGGTGTTGAAGGCATGGGCCTCGGTTAGAAATGACAGTAAATGTACTATACAAATAAATTTGACTTGACTACAAGCACCTTGAACATGTTGGATGCTGTCTATCATGGTGCACTAAGATTCATAACTGGCTGTAACTACCGTACCCACCACTGCACCCAGTATTCACTGGTTAACTGGTCATCATTAACTTCACACAGACTCTCCCACTGGTACATTTTCATCTTTAAATCACTTCTTGGTCTGCTGCCTTCATACATCTCCTCCTACATGTCTCTGTGTGAGTGCAGCTACAGCGTGCACTCTCAGGACATTATTACCTGCAGTGTTCCCTCAGTGAGGACTGAACTTGGCAAAAGGGCTTCTCCTACTCTGCTCCTGTTTCCTGAAATATCTTACAAAAAGACCTGAAGTTGTTGACTTTGACCTCTCTAAGGGATTTTAAACATCTAAATGTTAAATGAACTGTACATATACAGCACCTTTCTATCTTATCGAGATACTCAAAGCTCTTTACAACAATCTGTGCCTCATCTACCCATTCATACAGCTCTATACTAGATCTCTACAAAGATAATTGAACAAATCGTTCTAAAGAGACTAATCAGTGCTTTAGATAAGTTCATGGCAAAAACCAATGCAGACATGTTCCTGTTTTTAGTATTTTACCCTGTTTCATGATTTAGCTTGATTTTATGTTTTTTATATCACTATTTTTATTTACTTTAAAATTTATATGCATTTTATAGCAGTTTATTGTTGTCTGTACTTCATCTGTGGTTTTGTTTCTCTCTTGAAAATGAGTCTTCATGACTCAGTGAGACTAACCTGTAACCTGTTGAATGAATATATATATCCCTACGACCTTGTGCATATTGTCTTTTTTCAAATTTGTGTATTCTGCTTTTTTAAAATTATTTCATATGCATTCTTTTCTGTAGAATTAGAAAATGCTACTAGATGCTGCAAATTATCCCCCAGGGATTAATAATGAATGAATGAATGAATGAATGAATGAATGAATGAATGAATGTATGTATTGATTGATTGATTACTTTATTCATCAGACTTGTAGTCCACAAAAGCATGACACACAACACACAAAAAAGAAAAGAAAAAAAGAAAGATTTAAAAAAATAAAATCTTATAAAAGACTTGCATACCAATGTTTCCACAGAGCTGACTGATATCTTAGCGCACTAACAGAGGGATGTGAAAACATTACAATAAGACTGTTCATGGAGCTGCACAAACGACACATAAACTTGTATATCAAATTTCTCATGAGTGCCTGAAACGATCTGACATGCGCATTACAAAACATTTCACTTGCACTGCTGGACCTTGGTTTCTTAAGCAAAATTCTCAGGGAGTCATTATAAGCAACCTTAAGCTTCTGCATGCTAGCTTTTTTGAATTTACACCACAAAGGAGCCGCATACAAGGATGTACAATAAGCTTTAAACAGACTTATTTTTACGTCATCAGTACACATGTGAAACTTCCTCCCCAGAATGTTTGCCTGGGCGTACAACATGCGACACTGCCGATAAATGTCATCATCGTCACAGAGCTGGTCTGTGATGTAGTGACCCAGATATTTTGTTTTAGAACAAACATTTAACTTTTGGCTTGACAAAAAAAAATCTGGGAAACAGAGTTGTTTGTCTGCTTTAGTCCTACATATTAGCACAACAGTTTTCTTAGCATTATACTGCACATCATATCTCAACCCATAATCAGAGCAGATATTCAGTAGCTGCTGAAAACCAACACTGCTGGGTGAGAGGACAGCCAGGTCATCAGCATACATAAAGTGATTAACCAGGGTATCACCGATCATACATCCAGTTTTACAGAGGTTCATTTCTTTTGACAGGTCGTCCATGTACAAGTTAAACAGGGCAGGCGAAAGAAGCCCACCCTGACGCACACCATTACTCACTCCAAAGCAGGCAGAGATGTTATTGCCCCATTTTACATGCATTTTCTGGTTAGAATACCAGTAAACTAAAATTCGTATAATAATATCTGGAGCACCTCTCTGTTTTAATTTATCAAATAACTTGTAATGATTGACACGATCAAAAGCCTTAGAGGCATCAATAAACCCAATTAACACAGATGAATTTTTTCTTAGATATGCTCTTGCTGCCTCTTTCAGGCCATAAATACAGAAATCAGTTCCCAACTTGGCTTTAAAACCAAATTGATTATCTGTTGTACTAATAAACTTACTGAGACGATCAAGTAAGATTTTTTCAAACACTTTAGATATCACACTCGCTAAAGCTATAGGTCTGTAGTTATTAAGGCTACCAACCTTGCTAGTTTTGTCCTTAATTACCGGCACAAGGGTGATAGATAATAAGGAATCAGGCAACTGTCCATGGATCATAAACCCAGAGAAACACATTGCAAGCAGCACAGCCACTTTTTGGCTGGCATATTTCAGATGTTCTGCTGAAATGCTATCAGAACCTGTTGCCTTATTCTCACACAAGTACGCAATAGCCTGCTGGACTTCACTAGGGGTTATTAGAACCACATCACTCTTGGCAATATTTCCCAGTCCATATGGTTCACTTTTTACACAGTTAAATAAAGTAGAATAATGCTGTCTCCATAGTTCTGCTATGTTATCAGCCCCAGATATGCCTTCAATGGTACTGGGGAGCAATGCAGTAGACCTGTTTAAAGCTCGGACATCATTCCAAAAGCCAATGGTATTATTACAAAGCAGTTTTTCAGCCATGGAATCTGCTCTCATGTTCTGCTCACGTTTGGAAATGTATCGAATGGCATATTTAAAGTTGGCACTTGTTAATTTTTTATAATCTAGAAGAGTCCCATCTCTTGGTCTACCTGCTTCTACCCACATCTTATATGCCTGTTTGGCTTCTGCATGGTATCCTGACACATATTTATTCCAACCTGGCCTAATGTTATTAGTCTTTCTACATGTAGAGTATGATCTTGTAGCCTCATTCAAAGCACCCACAATGCCATCATACATAGTATGAAGGTCTATACAGTGAGATATATTACTGCAATTAACATCTGAGCACATAATAGATTGAAGAGGAAGACTTATTTTACTTAAAAGAAAATCAGTTTTCATATGATATACTGATAGGTCATCTTTAGAGAGTCTGGACCATTGGAATTTAACTGTGGTGGCACTATTTACCCCCCATATGAACTCTGGAAGACTTTTAATATCCAGCATCATTAAAAATGGAACATGATCTGACATAGAATACTCATATAATATTTCTATTGATTTTACAACAGCATGGGCATCAGCAGAGCTAATGCAATGGTCAAGCCATGACGTTGTATGCCAAGCTTCACTTATATAAGTATAGCTATCTGCAGGTAGCATTTGCTGACTGGACAATATGAAACTGTTATCATCACAAAACTGATGCATATGTTTAGCAAATGAGGAATATTCATCAGATATATCTGCATTCATATCACCTACTACATACACAGAGGTAAGATAATGGTCATCAATGAAAGAGTTCAAGAAAGCAAGTCTATTCAAATAAATGTCTTCATTCTGGGGACACTCGTATGGTGTGTAGACATTAATAATAACAAATTCTTTTTTTTCAACTTTTAAATGTACAGCAATACACCAGTCAACACCAGTTCTGATGACATTAAGAACTGGGTCCAGCTTTTTGTGCCATAGAATGGCTACTCCTCCTGCGATGCGTCCTCTCACTATCCCCATAGAAAGATCCACAGTAGATTCACCAGCTCCACAGAAACAGTCATTAATACAGTTCAAACTTCCCAAATCCTGTTTTGATAAAAAGGTCTCTTGTAAACAAAGGATATCACATTTTTGCAACAGTCTATCCACAACCAGACGTCGTGCTTTATCTCCAGCTGTGTTACCGACACGCAGTCCCCGGCAATTGTAAGAAATAACACGCATTAATTAGTCTATGAAGGATTCACTGCAGCCGTTGCATCCATCCCTTTGGCATCACTGGAAGTGATCACCCCAAGCCCTTTGGACGTTGTAGGTTTATTCCGTGGCTCATAGTAACGGCGCACAACCGAACCCTCTGGCCACAGCTCTGGGTTGTACACTTCTGCAACGTTCTCACACTCCACACTGACTTTAAAAGAACTATATCTGGTGTTCCCAGTGACAATACGCCGGCACTGAACATCGCGTCCAAGTTTTCCTTTAAGATAGTTCATTAGTGTCTCATCATCAAGATCTGGAATAAATCTAGTTGCAAAAACAGTTACAAGCTTCGTTCTGACCACTTTTATGGTGCTTTGAGCACCAGTACCGATAATAGGTGCTGGTCTTTTACGCTCAGGTTTAGCTTGGCATTTTAATGTAGCTGAATGGCTCTCAGTTTTCAAACGCCGCCCTTGTTTCACCACCAAGTTCCATGTGGGCGAACTGATGGGCGCATCTGCAGCACAGCTTCGGTTACGGTTATCACTCACCGCAGACTCGCCAATAATCCTGGGATCGTCGGTGTAGGTCCCATTCACGGCCAAAGCGGCATTATCAGCAATAACACAGTTTGTTCGAACAGAATCCATGCATGTTACCACCTCCTCGGAGCCGTCCGCAGCCAATGTCAAGTCACTGGCGTTGGGTATTCCTGGAACAGGCGTATTCACACTGCTGGATCCTCCACCTCCAAGGACCAAATGTCGTTCCATTGCCGTGACTCTGCGGTCAATGGTGGTGGTAACCTCACGCAACTTCTCCTCAACGTCCACTTGGCGTGACACTGTATGCTTCAGGGCACAAACCTCGCTCTGTAGACGCTCCATCTTGCTGAGTAAGTTGGAGACATCCAGGCTGTTGAACGTCACAGGCGGCAGCTCATCCAGGAAGTGGGAGACAAAGTGGGGTATAGCTTCCCCGCACTCATTCAGAACTTTTAAACAGCTTTTAATGGCATTTACAGCTTTCTGACTTCCTTTGAAGGCCACATACCGCTGTTTGGAATTGGAACACAGTTCAAACAGGACTTTTCTAGAGGACTCAATCCACTCAAAGTCGAACGTGTTGGATGCGAGCAGCACAAGCTCTTCCTGGCACATAGTCTTGATTTTGACCACAAGAAAGTTTAAAAACTCATCCTCCACTATAAGCTTTCCATCAGTAGTGTTGTAGATCTGCGGTTTGGTTCGGGGACAACGAGAGAAGGGAGCTCCCGTGCCTGACTCCGCACCGTCCGCCATCTTGTATGTATGTATCCATCCATCCATCCATCCATCCATCCATCCATCCATCCATCCATCCATCCATCCATCCATCCATCTATCTATCCATCTATCTATCTATCTATCTATCTATCTATCTATCTATCTATCTATC